TACCGAACGTTAGAGATTAACCACCGACACTCAGATAGTTATCCATGTGGAATCTCTCGACGGGTCTCCAATGTTTTGTTCTATAACAAACATCAACGTGTTCATTTAAGTGTCACCACACTTTAACTTGTGAGATCAGCTACTTACTTCACAAGTAAGAAATGCCACACGTGATGGTCTATCCGTAATAACGATATCCGTATCTCGTTATTACTTACGACCACGGATGATTTAAGATTCAATCTGATGTAATTTGTATCTCACAATCACAACTCCTTGTGATTAACAAATTACAAATATTTGAATCTACGGACTCTATTATTTATTTAATTGTCTATTAATTAAATAATAGATCTGCCATTTAATTGCATTAATTATATATAAAAGTATTTATGTCCAAAGTCGATTGGACCTGGGGCATAATACTTACAATCCTCAGTCTAGAAATAATCCTCCGTTTAGAAACAAAATTCAATGAAGGTAAAACATTAATTTCAAACATATGGTCATGACTACTATTCCATTTTTATCTACACATTTCATGGGATCTACTATTATTCATCTTTATAAATCATATATAAATTTGCTAAGTGGAGGCTAAACAGATTTATATAATTTCAAGGGTTAAGTTAAATCAACTTGTCTAGTTGGGGCATAATACTTACAATCCTCAGTCTAGAAATAATCCTCCGTTTAGAAACAAAATTCAATGAAGGTAAAACATTAATTTCAAACATATGGTCATGACTACTATTCCATTTTTATCTACACATTTCATGGGATCTACTATTATTCATCTTTATAAATCATATATAAATTTGCTAAGTGGAGGCTAAACAGATTTATATAATTTCAAGGGTTAAGTTAAATCAACTTGTCTAGTTTAGGTTGATTAATATGCCGTTGTAATATTTAAGTAATTTTTGTTTAGTTTTTTGGTGAAGAACAAAGATGGTGGATATTATCCATTAAGCTTTTGTCATCTGATAAAAGTAGAGGAACAATATAGTTCTGTTAAATAGAGACCTTTTATTTATTTATTTATTTATTTTTTGAATTGGCCTGCCTATCAGCTTGTAAATTGACTTCTTTTTACTCTTTCATATCTCATGGAATGAGTTTAGATGGTACTTCGAGTTCTCATTTTATGCTTGTAGATATTTTCTCTTTTCTCCCACCTATTGAGAGCTATTATAATCTCCATTTTTTTTATTGTAGTTATTGTACTTGATCTTCATCTATTTGATTTCGACAGTTGCAGGTTATTACATTGTTTTTTAGTCTTTTATGGCATTCAAGAACTGATTTGGTTAAAATGTCTTAAATCTCTTTAGTCCTTTTGTTCTCAGTGTGGCTGAGCATAAGACTTAAAAGATTTTCTTTGAGTCAACCTTGTTATGTTTAGGTTTACTTCCTTAAATTGTATATAGTGGTAGGCTGAGAAGGATTCAATTAATAAGATATCAATCTCCTAGCTCAGATAATTGCAAAAGGATTTGGTATTTAGCTGACCTGTGTGATCTCTTTCTATTATTCTTATATTATAGTAACGTGCATAGGTGACTGTAGAAAGATACACATTGTTTCTATCTTCTTTTCTCTAATTAACTATTTTTTATTCGACAGGGTTAGTCTCCAATTTGATCTATAGCATGTTAACAGTGCCTCAAATCACACTTGATTGTACCCTAAGAGCAGGAATACCAAATCCAATGATTTTATGTTCTCCCATCTCCATTTATACCAAAATCTAGAAAACCTTTCTGTATAAACTTTACTTAAAATTATCAGTTAGCATTTGTCCTCTTTATCAAGTCTAAAGGGAGACTGAAAAATCCTCACTTTGTTCATTTCTGTGGACTCTGGTCATCACCATATGTTTCACTTGGGTCAAAATCTAGAATTTGTTCTGTTGAATAATACAATCCATCCTCTAAATGATTGTGCCCAGTAACTGTAAGTGTTGGTATAGAATTTTTGCTGATGATATGGAAATTTGTGCGAAGTTGCAATATTGGAGAAAATTATTTGGCTTCCTCACCCTGTTCTGGTCATTAAAGTTTTTCCCTTTCGCTGTTAATGCTGTTTGCTTTGTCCAGATATTCACTCCATTGGTGGCTTGGTTCCTCTCCTTGGCTATCTGAAGAACTCCCATGCTATCATCAGAGCGAAGGCTGCAGAAGTTGTAGGTACAATCGTACAGAACAACCCAAAGAGTCAACAATTAGTTATGGAAGCTAATGGCCTAGAACCACTCTTATCAAATTTTACTTCAGATTCTGATGTTACAGTCCGTACCAAAGCGCTTGGTGCAATCTCATGTAAGTACCATTTGAGTGCTTTAATGTTCTGTTCAAGGCTTATTCCTGCATTTTCATTGCATGCAATCTGGCATGATAACTCCAGATTTATTTATTTATTTATTTATTTTTATTTTTTGTTTTGTTTTGTTTTGTACTTTCAGCTCTAATTAGGCATAACAGGCCTGGAATTGCTGCCTTTCGCCTTGCAAATGGTTATGCAGCTCTAAGAGACGCTTTAAGTTCTGAGAGTGGCAGATTTCAGAGGTATGTCCGTATGTGTTATCATCATTTAGTTGGTGAGGAATTTTACAACATTCTATCAAATTTTTTCCCAGATGACTCCCCTCATTAGTACTGGGCTTCTCTTTTTCACTGTGGAAAGGAGAATACCCGGATTTTGAATTTAATTGTAAGTAAAATGAAAACCCCACAAGGTACTCACTGCTTTTTGTTATTTTCAGCTTAGTTTTAGTGTGACAGACTAAAGCAGTAAAATTAAATTGGCCTTTTGCGTTTGTTCAAATCTGAAGCTAAATGCTGCTTTCTTAGTGTTTTCAAACACGGACTAAGTTTGTGATTCATGATCATATTTTTTGTACGTGCTTTTATTGCTACTTACAGGAAAATTGTCCCTCTTTGTTATTGACAGAATAGTAATTATTATTATTATTATTGTTATTTTTTGCAGGAAAGCTCTTAACTTGGTTCATTATTTACTTCACGAGAATCATTCAGATTGTGGTGTAGTAACTGAGTTAGGATTTCCACGCATTATGATGCACCTGGCATCAAGCAAAGATGGAGAAGTCCGTGAAGCTGCACTTCAAGGCCTTCTTGAGCTAACACGCTACAGGTTGGGCAAGGCGGACACTAGTCAAAGTGAAGAAGACGACAAACTGAAGCAAATATTACAAGAACGGATTAATGGGATTAGCGAGATGTCTGCTGAAGACCTAGGTGCTGCCCGAGAGGAAAGGCACCTTGTCGACTCCCTTTGGAGTACCTGCTACAATGAACCATCTTCTCTTCGAGAGAGGGGGCTTCTTGCTCTCCCAGGAGAAGATGCACCTCCGCCAGATGTAGCCAGTAAGCATTTTGAGCCTCCTCTTAGAGCTTGGGGTGCAAACCGGAATCCTGATGCAAAATCTAGTACCAAAAAGGAGGAAAAGGAGACGCCGCCATTATTACTTGGTCCAGTTCCCTCATCTGGCAATGCTTCCTAATGCATTTATGAGATATTAGACAATAATAATTTCTAGTTTATGTTTGCCGTTGTGTCACACCTGGATAAAAATGTTTTTGTATTACTTAATGGAGGATGCCTTTCGTCTTCCATAAATAGCTCTTTCCTAACAATGCAAATGGGATCTATTTTCCCTTTTTGGTTCATCATCAGTTCCTGTAATTGTTTTTCTGCTCCTGCGCATAAGTGGATGATTAAGCTACAAAAGCATATTTGTGTTGTTTTGTATTTTTTTTATTATATTGAGACTCTAGACTGATAAGCGGTCGTAGCTGTTATGTAGAGGACGAGACACTATTCTCTGTGTTTGATTTCGTTCGGTTTATTTATTCATAAAAACTTATCAGCGCTGTTTCTTCATTGTTTGTCATTTAACATAATCAAGAACTGAGAGTTCATTTCAACTGTGCTGCTCAATGCAGGATGGCACAGTGGCATAGATGAAATCATTCTGTTGCAGAGCACAAAAATATTGAATCTGCATTTTATTGCATATGAAATTATATTATAATTGTTGGAAATGGGTCGGTTTATAAATTATTTGTTTTTGAGTAGACTTTGATCAAATATTCATGTTGGTCCCGAAAACTGATTGTTTTGAGTTTATAGTCGAAGGTGTTCTACTCCGCGAGTATCTGTCTGTAGCAGATGTTGTTTTGCGAAATCATTTTCAGATAAATGAGAAATTAGTGCATACAATACACACACACACACACACAATATATATATATATATATATATATATGTATATATATATATATATATATATATATGATAACGAAATGTTGAAATTTTATCATTGGAGGGAAGATGTAGGAACATACGTTTCTTAAATGTGTTCATATACTCCAATTTTGAGACAAATTTCACTTCCCCGCCCGAATCACAGATTAAAGTGATCAATTCCCTTTCCTTCATGAACTTGAAGAGGAAAGAATAATAGCTACATTGGGGATGCATAAAGAGGAGAATAAAGAGTAGTTTGGTGCATCCATGATACAGCTCGGTCCGTATCTTCAACCCTGTTTGAGTAGCATTAGTGGCCTAATATATATAGTTTCCTGACAAATAAAATATTAATTAATTTAATTTATTAATCTTATTGACACGTGAATTTAAATTTTGCCCTGTATACTTGAAGCTTTCTGCATTCGGTCCCTATTTTCATAAAGAGAGCACAACCATATTTTTAGTGCATTACTTTTTGTGGTTTGAAGTGCTACTATCACTAAAAGAGATCGTTATATCTTGGAAGACAATTTGGATTTATCTTAAGCACTTGTGGATAAATTCGTATTAAGAATAAAGAGTTGAATTATTGGCTTAACTACCAATTTCTTACTTCTACATTTCATTCAGTCTCTTCGTATACTGCAGTTCAACTTATATAAATTAGAATATAATTTGCATCCTTAAATATACCAAAAATAATTGTAAAAGAAAAATAAAAATGAATGATTGTATGCAATTAGAGTTATGTTGTGACTATAGCTGCAAATTACATTTTGTAAGAATTCCTATTACATGTCTCCAATTTCACAGAAAACATTGACTGGATTTTTTGATGGAGGAAGATCAAGACCTTTCCCAAATCCACTCCAATTATCTGAAGTATTCCCTTGTTTAAAATCTGAAAGCCCCATAAAAGTTAGGAAGAGCTCATGATTAAAATCAAGATACACATTGTCATTTTAAGTGCATATTTGGTACGCAGTGTGAATGGATTTGACTATATAATGAACAAGATCTCAATTTCCTTTTTTTTTGCTTTAGTTTTGCATTGAGTATTTCCTGTCAAACATATTCCAATTCTCAGAGAAAGTAATTGAAGATTAGAAGAGAACCAACCAATTCAACAATGAAAGTGCCAATGAGGCCAATCATACAGGCTCTTGAATTCCAAATTTCAGTCGTTTCTGTGAAGCCAATGAAAGGTGAATTGAAATTTGGCTCTTGTTTTGGCAGTTCCACCTGAAAATTGAAATGTTTAATGCCCATTACTTCCCTTGAATGCATATGACATAATATTTCCCATCAAGTATGTGAATCTTCAATGTAAGAGATGTTGGGAATTGATTTAAACATGCACAGCGGAATTTAACAGATTTCAATTCCCATTCAGGATTCAGCTTTGTATTTAGATAAAAACTGTGATGAGAAATATACCTTTTGTGTGATTTGCAAACTCTTTCGCGTTATTCCTTTCCAGCAGCTTGAATCTGCCTCCCACAGCTGTCCAATTGTGCAGCCTCCAATGAAATCCACACAGAGAGAAAACAGCAACTGCTAGGGTTTCTTTCTTGTGCTAGCAAGAATAATGAATGACTTAATGGACCTCAAACCCTAACTGCATATATATATAAACCCAAATGGACCCGGCCCGGTCCGGTCCAATATTTAATTAATCCAATTAATCAAACCCGGTCCGTGAATTAATTAATCTAATTAATTAATTCGGGATTATAAATAAGAAAATCAATTAATTAATTTATCCAACGATTGTTAAATTAATCAATTAACAATTTGCAGTCTTCCAATTCTCTTTTGTGTGCGACCCATTAGGTTCCCAACCACGATGCCTAACGTCGTGAAATATTATTTTGATCTAATCAAAATCGATAAATTAATACACCCTTTTAATTTATCGTCAATTCACATTCGCCGTCCCTGATTGACATCTAGCAATGTGTCAGGGCAATACATGTGACGGGAAATGTCACGTGGTATGACAAAACCAAAATCGTTCGTTTATCATGGAACTATTATCCCTTCGTCATTACGATCCGATCAATTACGAGATATGGAATTGTGTCAATCTCGATCATCGATCATATCTTTCATTCCACTATTAAGTCAATATAAATCGAAAACTCCTTTTCGACTTATGAGTACACCTTGGCCAAGGATTTCATCATCGACTTAATTGAATGAAACGCAGATCATCTCCTACTATCTAAGAGTGACGAATCCTTTATTGATCAATCACAACCTTCACACGATTCTTGACGTACCCGAACGATGTCGTATTAGCGGCCCTTTTCAGAACAACATCCAACACCGCCAAAGTATGACTGTCCTCATATAGGGTACTATGACGACCTCAAGTCAAAGGATCAATCCCACTACCGAACGTTAGAGATTAGCCACTGACACTCAGATAGTTATCCATGTGGAATCTCTTAGCGGGTCTCCAATATTTTGTTCTACAACAAAACATCCACATGTTCATTTAAGTGTCACCACACTTTAGCTCGTGAGATCAGCTACTTACTTCATAAGTAAGAAATGCCACACGTGATGGTCTAACTGTATTAACGATATCCGTATCTCGTTATTACTTACGACCATGGTTTATTCAAGATCCAATTATATGTAATTTGTATCTCACAATCACAACTCCTTGTGATTAACAGATTACCTAAAAATTGGGTCTTCGGATTCTATTATTTAATATTATTTATCACAAAATTAATTTAAATAAATAATAGATCTCGCCAAAATCAAATGCATTAAATATATTAAATGCGTTTACAACCTAAATCGATTGGATCTAGGGCATAACACTTACAAGAGACGCATATAGTGACAAAGTTTTACGCTGGCTATTAATCTATTGCACTTCTCTTCTTTTCAATATACTCTGGAGGCGCAGTAAATAAAGAAAAACAATATTTTATCAGAAAGAAGAAAAATGAAAAATGCATATACTCCAAAAGGAAGTTTTGCTACTTGAACTTTGATTCTTCGAAAGAGACACGGAGTTTCTGCTATTGGCATTGTGCGTATACACGGGCGAAAAATTGATACTCTGGACATCTTTTTTTAGAGCTCCAGCCGAAAGGAAAGAAGATGAACACACTTGTAATTGGGGGTATTTTTAGAATGGTTAGGTCAAAATACTGAATTTTCACTTTGACCAAAAAATTTTTGGCCATTCACCAAAAGAGTCTTTTGAAGAGTAAATGTCATTTTTGTCCTTATTATGTGTTGTAATTATAAAAATATATCATTTGCCCAAAAGACAATAATACTCTCTTTAAAAAATTAATAAATCCAAACAATTCCACTTAAATCTCAAAATGAAATTACTTTCCTTATCAGATTTTCAATACAGTTAAAAAGAAATTTCCTCTTCCATCTGCTTCAACATTGAAATCTCAAAGAATTATCAAAGGCTCAACAAAAAAATATTACTCACAGTCGGCATTTGAAATTGGTAAGTATAAATACGTATGTTTAATTTTATTTTAGTTAAATTAGTACATTGTTTGAATATTTAAATTTTATTTCAACATATGATTTTAGAAAAATGAAATATTACAGTTTTAAATGGATGTATAATTTTTTTTAGCAAAAACGAAGAAAAGAATTCATATGTTCAGATGCAAAATGTAGAAGACGGCCGGCCAAAAACGTTTCTGGGCCGGATGTTTAACAACCTGCTCGGATGCTACAGTTGGCCCGGACTGTTCGGGGCGGCTGTTACACGTTGTTATTTTTTTTTTTTTCTCCTTGTGTCATATTTTTTTCGTCCTTTTATTCTCGTAATTACAATATTTTTAATAAATGATGTTTCATAATGCAGATATGGGATCAGCTGCTGTCCCGATTTGTTATTTTTGTGAATTTGAAAATAATGACAATGATCAATGAGTGTGGAAATGGACGAGTGAAAGATATGGTTGTACTGCAATTGTAATAACATCAAGTACATCATATGCAGAAATGTACAATGAGATATAGAAGTTGCTGAAAGTCAATCCCTCTGAGTACGCCATAGAATTGGGATTTCTAATGGGTGAGAATAAATCCATTTCAATTCCACCTATAATGGTTACTTCTGAAGTTGAAATGAAGGTTTTAATTGAAATGAATCAGAAACGTGTGATTCCTATTTGCGTAATTTTGATGAAGAAGAATGTCCCCGAGAGTGAACACGAAGATTTCGATGGAGCGGATTGTAATGTGAATGAGTTTTGGTACACAGTGGAAATAGTGCGTGATGATGTTGTAGCTGTTCCAGAGACAATTGCTCCTCACTATGATCTCACTATTACACACAGAATTTGCTCGGTAGTTCAAGACAACGAAAGAGATAATGACTTTAGAAATGAGAATTTGATTGCTTTATCCTATTTGAGACATGCGTCGAGTGGGAACTCACAGGTTGGACTGAGTGCACGGTTCTCTAATTGGTCGCGTATACTTCCCGATGATGAAGATTTGTATGTCGAGCAACTGTTTGGCACGAAGAAAGATTTGCAGGAAGTTGTTCACCGGATTGCTTTGAAACACAATTTTGAGTTTAAAGTGA